ACCGATAAAAAGATGAGATGATGACAAAAATAACAAGTCTCAGAGCCAAACCTAAACTCTGCTGTGGTGTGTCATCTGGGAATGAAAAGAAAACTGATGAGGATGATGACGACGATTCTCTGAGCATTTGCAAAGCCATTAGGCATCCAATTTAGCCGCCGCTTTGGCGACAGTAGCTTAATGTACCTCCCGTTATGAGCGTGTTATTTCTATTTGGTGTAAGAGGTGTATTTAACAGAACAATGATCACTTTTTTTTCCCTCTTTGACTGCGGCATATTGAAACCTTGACAATGCAGAATAGAAACAATCAGGAGCTCTGAAGGAGGCTTTGTTCGTAATTGTTGTTTGCTTGCATATCTGTTTTGTTGTGCAAAAATTACCTGACAAATGTCACTGAAACCAAAAGAAAAGCTTTAGTATGGTGGCTAGGCATGCTAAAGCGGTTAAGGCACTAGATGATGTTAAAACACAGAAGGATGCTAATAGATAGCCATGGTTTCTCAGACAGCTATGGATGCTTAACCACTGGTCAAGGGTGCTAAGAAAGAGGTTTTTTTTTGTTTTTTGGAGTAAGCTAAGCATGCTACTGAAACTAAGACTGTTCAGGGTGCTCTACATCTTAGAATGTTAAAACAGCTAGCAGCTAAGACGGCTAGGAACACTGATGTTGCTCTGGGAAGCTACGGCAGCTAACTATGCTTCGATAAGAATCCTCAGATGTGTGTTGCTAGGGCACCGAATGTGTCTACAACAAATGTATGATGTAAAGGCTGCTGTGTTGCGATGTGAGTGGGTTATTTTCTTTTTTGTGTTTAATGGGCACGTTGGTCAACTTTAGCTCTTGCCCAAGGCGAGGCGAACTAGTGCTGTTTCATCAATCAATATGTTTGGAAAAACAAAGTTAATGAGTAGGACATGTTGTATCACTGCGACTTGTTGTGTTGTAAAAGAAAAAGAAACTATAGTTGTGTGGCATTCGGGTCGTGGCCACATGCTGCTACGATGCTGGGGAGAAAAAAAATATTGAATGTTTGTCCATCAATGCAGAAAGAAATAAAACTGTAAAAAAATTAAATAATGCAGTTTTAATGATCGGCCAGAAATTGGGCGGACATGCCAATCGTAACAAGAGGCACATTATGTTTCTGAAGGATCCTTGCATGAAATTGAAGAGAAAACAAGTCGTTTTGTTTTGAAGGCGCATATTTCAAAAAAACGGCGATGAGGAGTTTTAATAAAATTAGCACCTTTGGGAAATGGGAATGCGGATTGACAAAATTGCAAAACTATTTTTGCCAAGACACGAAACCTAGTAAAAATGTCTGGAATATAAGGTATTTAATTACTTTTTGCTGATCACTTCAATTATTTGCTATGAGCAAGGGGGTGCAACGCCAATTCATTGTTACGTGCTGCTCTGAATGGTCTTGCGGTCACTGACAAATGGATGAAACTTACTTTTCAAAGGCAGTGTGCTCGTTTGTTGATGTCACGTTACCAGAAGCATTAAAAGCTTCGTTTATTAGAAATATTTAATTGAAAAAGTACACCGCACCAACGGATGTTGTGGCCTTAATGTGTTTTTTAATGAAAATGTTTTTACTTATTGGACCATTTTTGTTGTTGTTGTCGTGTTATTTGTTGACGTCAAACAGCAACACAATGCTGTCTGCTGCTGCTCGCTAATGAGACCTGTAATGAGTTGCTCCGTTGCGCTTAACGCCGCGCTTCCATTAGCCTGCGCCAGCTAGCATGTTGGCCCTACTAACGAGCTCGCTAATGCCTTCGCTTCAGACCTTTAATGACTCACGTGTTTGCTCGTTGCTCGCTGAAGCTGTCAGGAGCCAATCCGTCCACTTGATGCTAAGTGAAGGTGTCGCTCGCGCTGCCGGGATGGAGCGATGGGAAGCAAAAGGCGGCCGCCGACCCATTTCAGGGGTCTTTTTCAAGCGGAAAGGCCACCCAGATCGATTCAGTATTGAGTTGCGCTTTTCAAACTGGGGTGCAGGGGTTAGGTTAGGGTTAGAGAAAAAAAAAAGTACATCCCGACCTACATATGGAGACTGGCGTGCCAATACAACAAACATATTAATTAAACCAAGTGTACCTCGCTGCCATAGCTTTAAGCCAGTTAAAATCTCCAATATGATTGTGACACGTCGCTCTTTTCTCATGTTGAGGTGGCAAAATATTAGCTGCTTGGAAACGTCACTAGAACAGTCAGACAAGTTGTGGTGAAATGGGAAAATTGAGAACAATTAATGTGCTTTTGTAAATTAACTCCTCCCTAATCGTGGCCCTGTTGTTAGTGCAAGTCATTTTACGACAATGGAGAAATATATAGAATTATACTGAATTGACCGTATTTTCCGCACTATAAGGCGCACCACAAAATTTGTGATTTTCTCAAAAGCCGACAGTGCGCCTTATAATCTGATGCTCCTTATATTTGGATCGATATCCTGATTTCACAGTCGTAGTATTTTAAATGTTCTGTCAAGCAAAAGCTTTCTTACAGCTGCAGCGGTTGCGAGAGCGCTATATAACGCGTAGCTCCATCTAGTGGATGCATAACGCAACCTCAGCCACGATTGTAGCTTCTATTCAATGCGCCTTATAATGCGGTGCACCCTACATATGAAAACAGTCTGTAAATCAACCATTCATAGAAGGTGCGCCTTAGACTCCGAAGTGCCTTATAGTGCTGAAAATACGGTAATGTGGTTTCCTTCCTATTGAACGGGTCATGACTATTAAGATGGAAATGCTCAAAACGGAGGCCTCGCGGGCATTTACTACTTACGCACGACACGGGGCCCATCTCATGCTAATGTGTCTAATTGTTTCCTAATCAGATGCGAATCAATGAGTTGCATTCTAATCCTCTTGCGGGGGCGCTTGCCGAGCCGTGATGGATGAAGGCCCAGTCAGCAGAAACGCAAAGCCGGGCCTCAACGCCGCGATGCCTTCGTTTGTCTCAGTCTGTTTGAGTTAAAATTGCTTGGATGGTATTTAGGAGACCCGTGTGGCCGTTTTCCGGGCCTGAGCAGATAAGCCGGAAAAAAAAAAAGTCATAATAAGAGGGCTGGGGTCAATTATTCCCATCGTGCCATGTCGGTCAGTTCCTATTTCCTCGTGAGGTGGTTGTGATCAGTCGAGGTTGGAATTTGTTCTCCCGTTGCCTCAGGAGGTCGTCCATACCCGCAAGCACATTTTCCTGCACAGTGCAACATCTGCCCACGGGTCTCATTGCAGATGGAGCTTCTCGGTTTGAATCGACTGCGTGTATGTCATCTGTTCTCTTTGGAGTGCGGCAAGTCGATGTTCTTGCTGATCTTGCCTGAGGGTCTGCCTGGGTACTCCCGACTTCCTCACCTCATCCAGAAAGGTTCGTTGAAGAGATGCAATTGTCCAGGGTGGAAGTGTGCTCCCTCATGTGATTGGTGGAAAATCCGTTTGGGGTGTACCCCGCCGTGGGAAAGGCTCCAACCTCATCCGTGAGCCGAATTAATGCGATTGAAAATGGAGGGATGGCCGGTTGCGTTTGAATTTGCCGTTTGCAGGTTGTTTGGGAAATTTGAAAGGCACAAATTGGACCGCCTGTTGAGTTTGAGTCACTGTTACTATGTTGTCATGGGTGCTGTGGAAGGGCCAATTTCGCAAGTTACTCGGACCAGAGAAAGTGAACTGAAGTGTTGTTGAACTGCCGGGTTGCATTTATTTACGTTCGCCTGGAAACTGAACCGTGACAATTAATGCTCCCAAAGGTGTTTTTGCAGGCGCTAAAGCTAACTCAGGAACGGCCTCTTCTACCTCAGAAAGATAGTGTTCTTTGAATAAATTTGGTGGGCATTTTTATGCCCAAAAAGCAACAAGGAGGCTGTCATTTTGATTCGGCCCGTCCATATAAGGGTCGTTTTGGCCATTTTGAAGACAAACTGATCCACAACATTTTGTCTGATTGCCACCAAATTTGAACCATCTATACAAGGGCAGAACGTTTTGGAGTTTTTGGTCATTTTCTGTTGTCTTATATGAAAGCAGACAGACTGACTCTCGGTGTTGGCAAACATCTGCTTTTACTTTGGAAAACAGTGATCATCATTTCCTTACATGTTACGGAACAAACCAGTAACTGAATCTTCATTTTTTGCGTGTGTGTGTTTTCTGCACTGCCGGTTTGAAATAATGTCCCGTTTTTGATGAGGGATGGAAATGAAACAATTTGTTTTGGTCTGATTCATCGCCAAAATCACAGACAGATGAATCGATGGCTAAAATAATCATTAGTTGCGACCCTTCGCGTTGTGCTGTTTTGAATGCGCCTTTGGACCAGATTTTCATATTGGCGATCACCATCGTCCAAAAATGTTCCCCGAAAAGCTCATTTTACAGACTCCCAAAATTCGACGTCTCTTGGAACCCGTCGGCGGATTTTCAAAATTGTTGGTGCGGTGTTGTCAAGTTGAAGTTGTCGCGCCAACCAGATTTGACCAAATTCACAAGCCCGTCGAGTGATCGCTGATCAAGGAACGGAAATTTCTGTGTTGCGGTACAGAGTTGGTGCTTATGCACTGTGAAGTTTGTGTTTGAAAGGGATGCCTCATCGGAAATTGTATTTTTATACACGCGACACCCCCTGAAGGTGTTTTTTTTTTTTTTTCCCTCCCATGCTAAAGCAAATTCAGACATGACTTCTCCTTCCTCAAAGTCACGTCTTGTTCTTCCCAGCTGGGCTGAGTTGGCGGAGACCAAGGAGGAGGTGCTGATGTTTGTTTTTCAAATGTCATTTAAGTCTTGAATGTGTGTGTGTGTGTGTGTGTGTGTGTGTGTGTGTGTGTGTGTGTGTGTGTGTGTGCGTGTGCGTGTGTGTGTGTGTGTGAGTGATGTTTGGGGTGTGTGTGTGTGTGTGTGTGTGTGAGAGTGATGTTTGGTTGTGTTTCCCTCCCGTCCGACGGCCCTCCGCCACCATGTGTTGTCTGTGTTTGTGGTCCACAGGTCCTCCGCTGCTTTGTTCCTCCGCCTCCTCCTCCCCTGTCGAGCAGCCCCCATACCCTCCCCCTTGCATCGGGGCCAATCAGAGCCAGGGGGGGTTGCTAGGTAACAGTGCGGCTCAGCCAGCCCGGGACTCTGACTCGGAGGATGAGTTTGGCCCCGGTTCATTCTTAGTTAAAGCTGGCTCGGGGAACCTGTACGCCGCAGCTGCTGACGGTGAGTGGTTTCTCAACTCTACTTCCTTTCTGGAGGCGTGGCCTGCCCGCCGCCCCTCACCCCCCCGCCCGGACGCGTCGGGTTGAAGGTTGTGCAGACGGCTGTCGGCGACAAGGATGGCCCCTCTGATTTATTTATTTTTTTTCTGTCAGCAAGAGACAGAAGAAAGTTTTCGAGTTGATAAACAGCCTCGGGAAACGCCAGCGAGCGAGGTCTGCAAAGTTCAGCTTTAAAAGATGGAGGAGGGATTTGTCTCAGTTGGCAGTGCAGCGGAATATTGGTTAGGACATCCGACTCAGCTTTGAGGTTCGGGTTTGAATCTCGGGGCCGGCCTTCCTGTTTGGAGTTGGCATGTTTTGTCCGTTTTTGCGTGGGTTTTCTCCCACCTGCCAGACACATGCATGTTGAAGACCGTCTACGTTGTCCAGGAGTCACAATGTGTGCGTGAATGGTTGCCTGTCTAAATGGGCCCTGAATATTGGTTAGGACATCCGACTCAGCTTTGAGGTTCGGGTTTGAATCTCGGGGCCGGCCTTCCTGTTTGGAGTTGGCATGTTTTGTCCGTTTTTGCGTGGGTTTTCTCCCACCTGCCAGACACATGCATGTTGAAGACCGTCTACGTTGTCCAGGAGTCACAATGTGTGCGTGAATGGTTGCCTGTCTAAATGGGCCCTGATATTGGCTGGCGACCAGTCCAGGGTTTGCCCCACCTCTCGCCCACAGTCCTTTGACTCAGGCTGCGGCTCCCACTTGAGGTCTTTAAAAAAAACGGGATTTATGGATTCGCCACATTTTTTCCTTGTTTTCTTGCCTCCATGTGCCTCTTCAGACTGTCAGAAGCGGTCGGTCGTCTTTAATGCCTCAGCACCGGAAATGACGTCAATTGTTAACTTGGTGAAAGACATTACTTTAATTAACAAGTCAAACGCAGCCCCCCCCCTGGAGGCAGATTAGCGTTTTTCAAATACTCCCGTGCGACGCGTCGTGAATACGCGTCGGCTCCTCGCCCAAGGGGGCCGC